CAGTGGTGCCCAGCGACAGGACAAGGGGCAACGGGCACAAACTGAGGGACAGGAAGTTCCGTCTGAACATGAGGAAGAACTTCTTCACTCTTAGGGTGACGGAGCACTGGAACAGGCTGCCCAGAGAGGCTGTGGATTCTCCTTCTCTGGAGATATTCAAGACCCTCCTGGACAAGGTCCTGTGCAGCCTACTGTAGGTGACCCTGCTTCGGCAGGGTGGTTGGACTAGATGACCCACAGAGGTCCCTTCCAACCCCTACTATTCTGTGATTCTGTGATTCTGTGAACCAAATGCTATTCTATAATAGCTAAAACACAAAGGTATTTCATGTGGAATGTTAAACCTGGATGACTACTAAGGAAAACCACATAAAGGTAAACATAAACTCTACAGACATATACAAAGTAAAATACAATTTGAAATATCTGTAAAGCCTTTCCAATCTATTTTTTAGAAATTTAACATCCACCTGAATTCTGTTCTCTCTCCCTGCTGTATTCTCCTATATTTACAACTGTAAAATATGTTTTCTATATGGGATGCATTTGAAATAGTAAGAAATTGAAGTAGGTGTTTTTTATCAACACCTACTTCTGGCTTACATTTAAATTCTAGAATATTTTAATCTCCTTCAATTCATCACTTACAGGAACATGTGATTTATGCAAATAACTAATAAACCGGATGAAGTGAAATTACACGAAAAGTATTTGTTGATGTAAAGTGTATTGTCGAGTAAGTTTAAAGCTGCAAACACCTTCCTCCCAAATTCTTACAATCTATCTTGTTTAACAATAAAATCGAACTGCTAAGGCAACTGCCATCTTTACTCAATTCAACCACATTCATGTACATGTTTCTTCTTCATCAGGAACAAACAATTAGTAACAAATGAAAGAGATCATTACATCAAGTGCCCTTTTAGATCACCCCAATTAAAACTTTAGTTTAGCTGTATTTCAATTCTAAGATACCAAATTCTAATTTTCTGCTCTGATTGCTCTTGTTGACTTATCTTTGAAAGATGTACTCTCGGTGCAAAGCTTAGAGATTATTTAGCAAGATGCCAATGTTGGCACCACTTAATGTGTTGATTGGTTGTATTATCAGTAGCAGTTTAAAATAAATTAGTATTAAACTATTATTGTCCTTGGCTGACAAAACACAATATTTTGGTGTTCTTTAAATATGAAACAATCATTATGAATAAACATGGAGAATAATGCTAGAGCGCAACACTGATGTGTGTGATTTTATATTAAGAATTGCTGCAAAATACAAAGCTGCTAAGAGCATGTTACATTTTCTATTGAATTTCTCCACCACACTTCCTCCCCCAATCTTTCCTTTTTTTATACTTGCTAACGTAGCTAATGGTAATACATTACCTATTGCTGCTGATTATGTCTGAAAAATATTAGCTTTTTGGAGCCAAGACCCACTAGGGACTACTTATAAGCTACACAAAATTAAGTTTCATTTTTAGAAGTTAAATCAGTGCACATCAGTAGGCGTCCAATGTGAAAAAAATTCTGCACTAGAGCCAAACTGATGCATATGCAAAAGTGCTGTTGCTGCCAATGACAGCTCTAATGCAAAAATACTGGAAACATTCAATATCTCCCCATATTCAATGCAGAAAGGGGTGAGAAAAACAACTAAAAAGTACAGCATTTAAAAATCATCAGCGCCCCTTGGAACAGGAATAGCAATTTCAGAGATGCATGAAATTCTATTAATTCTCCCAGTGGATCAGCTGTAAAAGATTATACAAAATACAGTATGTCCAACTTGTATTTGCTATGGCTAATCCTCTAACCTGATATTAAATCAATATGCTGCCAATGACAATGGGAAATGCAGTGCAACACAGGACATTAACAAAAAGAAAATATTTCCCTTTAGGGAAGGTCAGATGTTATGGAGGCTGGATAATGATAATTGTAGTGAACATACTCAGGTTCCAGATTTGTTTTTAATACAGTACGGCTCTATCTGGATCGAGGCTTTAAACACGGCATGCTATTCTTCCCCTCTGTGCCACTGTCTATAATTTTTTTTTATTTCAATCTAACGTAAAAAAGATTTATAGATCATTCTGATTTGGCTTGTTTACTTTAATGTACTTGTTTTAATGTTTTCCACTGATGAAACCTTCAGAAATGTCCCAAATAAAAAGTTAAATTGACATATAGTTGATGTTTCTTCCCATTCTCCAACATATATGAAAACACCTTCATGTTAGGGCAGTCTACTGATCCTACAGAAACGAAACATATACCGAACCTCAACTCAATCTTAAAGCCAGTATTACCCATCATTATTTAAAAAAAAATACTAATAATGTGTTGCCTATTTTGAAAGGAGTGGAGGGGAAGGTATACAGAAGCTCCTTCTCTTTCTACCTACATCTACAGTGTGTTCCACCTAACATAATTTAGTTAGCTACACAGATATGTGTGACATCAAATGGCCTTACTCGCTAGTCCAGTGGTTTACCTAGAAGATCACATCCTGTTTCCAACAGCCACCCACAGTGAGTGAAAAAGGAAAACCAGAAGAACAAGGCATGCACACAGTGAAACGTTCCTAGTCAAACCTCCCAGCTTCCAGAGATTTGTAGATCAGGGGCCTCCTTTTGTAATGCTACCTATTCATGGTGAAAACACTTTCAAATAGCAATGCTTCTCCTTTAAAAAATGAGGAAATTATATGGAACTTGTATTCATTCATCATTAAAACTCTCTAGTGGAAGGCTTGCAAAAAAAATCAATATATACACTTTTAGTTAACTTTGCGTCACAGGTAAATTTTTAAATATTTGCTATTTGTAACTGACTACTGACTTAGTAACATAAGCAAGGTAAGACAATAGCTTGACTATCTCTACAGATGACTTCGGAAAGACATATTTGTAATATCACAGACTGAATATCTCAACCACGGGTAAAGGCATAATGCATAAGTGACATTTTTCCATTAAAATTTTCTGTGAAAAATAAAATCATTCTCTTGAATTTTAGCAGAAGACAAATAAAATAACACGAAGTAAACCTGTGATTTTTACTTTATCCACTGTTTGCAACATTTTTCTCTTCTGTATGTAGCTGTAGGAGGTAACAGTGCAGGAGACTCACAGCAATAAAGCCAGTAGTTTGCTTTGTTTTCATAGGGGAATTTAGTTTGTAATCATGCATTTCTTTTATTAATATCAATGGGACACTTGCAACTTACTTTACATATCTCTTTAAAAATACTTATCAACAAGACTGTGTCAATACAATACAGTCAAGACAGAAAAACATAGCTATCAGGGTGCAACTAATTCATCCCTTAGATACGAATGGAAATTCAGCTCAGGGACATTAAAGATTCAGACTCTAAAAGCTTAAAATAACATTACTATTACCCAAGAATATTGCAGTATTATGAAAGGCTGTGGCTGTAACATGCTTTGGCATAACTGGGCCATGACTCAAAAAGGTGAACTTACTCATGCTAGGGGTATGGAAACATCTTTAGCCTTCTCACTAGCACCCACATAGCATTTTGCTCCGACCCACCTTCCATCACCCTTCACCCTCCCTGCAGCTGCACACAGACCTCCAGCATTTAATCTGGAGGAAACCAACAAGTACACATCAGGAAGGAATGGACATATAACTTAAGTTCTATCAGGAAATTTATTCTCTCTTCCTTTTAAATGTGAAGATATATATCTGAATAAGAAAATATGCCCCCAATCTTATTTCCTTATTTTGTGTGTATTTGTTTAATTATATTTTGTTACAGTTTATTATTTGCATTTCAGCAGTCCTCATCAAGAAATAAACACTGGTTGTTCCGGGTACTGTATATTGTTGTTATCTCCTCTTTAAATGTACAAATAATTACACATTTTTGTTTCAGGAAGTATTTATGAGAAGTAAGAAAAACATATATATGATATACGAATGGAAATAAAACTATCTAGCAGCCCCTGGTGACAGCAACAGCAAATAGGCTTGTCTAACATTTGCCTCATGTTACGAATTAGAGATTAGGGGCTATCCATTTGATTTTAGCATGGATGGAGGACACAGACTCATTTGTGTTTAGTGGCCAACTTTAAAGGATGACTCAGACTTCTGAAATGGAAGTAAGTAGAGAAGTAGAGTTAGGCACCAAGTTCAATCACCTAAGCTCTTCAGCACCTGCAAGACTTTTGTTCTCAAATATCAAAAGCATTTAGAAATTTTTGCTTATATACCCAAAAGTACTGTCCCCATGGCAAGGTTTAGGATCCTCCTCCCCTGCACAAAGGTCAAAATTAGAGCTCTAGTGCCCATAGAGTACCCTAATCTTGCTCTATTTTAAACCAGGACAGACTCTGCAACTTTTCTGGAGGCACCCAAGGTCTGTATTACACAGATCCTTCGGATCCTGCGCTTCACACAGCTGAATATACACAACAGGATCACAGCACAGATATCTACCGTCACTTCCATGCAGACTGGTGTAGCCAGAGGCTGCTGGCCTATGTATTCATGTGACCATCATATCCCTAAAACATAGGCAACCTCCATCATCGCATGTGGCAGATTGTCCCACCTGTTTACCCTGATAGATGATTTGTTGTGATGTGGAACCTTACAGTAAGGAGCAGTAAGCACAAAATCACAATGAGAGAGGCATAAAGAAGTCTCTAGTTTCAATTCAATGTTGTCTTTTTATTTTCTCTCTTCACTCCAAGTAAGATTAGGGTGTTTTCGTTTTTTTTTTAAAAGAAAAGCAATGACTGAATTTCACGCTCACATTTTCTGTAAAACAAAACTGAACGCACTCTTGGCAAATCAATTCTGGTCATTTATCCTGAAGTAGTGCACCACTCTCATATTCAAACACAAGATCAGCTAACCTGTTGATGTTGAATGCTTTGCTCATTAGGTGGCTGTCTGGAGACACTGAGTGCACACATTTGTCAAAAAAATTACTAAGAACTTTCCTGTACATTCATGCACAGCTAAAACATTATATATTTGGCTAATTGTATTTCTTTCTTCAGAAAAAAATACGTTCTTTACAGATTGCAGGAGATCTGTTAGAAGAATGCTACCTGTTCTAGAATTACCTTGGTTTACAATCTAAATATTTAAGAACCTAAGTCTCAGAACCACAAAAAGGAATCATAAATACGTTTTTTCAGATCAGGCAGACACAGAAATATTTAACTCTTAAATAGCAGTATTTTTTTCATTATTAGACCTCATAACACCACTAATGAATGGATCATATACTTTCCATAAAACAAGTCTGAAGTGCCATAAACTTTAATGAGATTGCTTAAGCAAGTAGTGTGCAGGATTTGGCCCTACCCTGTCATAGCCTTTGCTGAATAGAATACAGTTGATTTCATGTATTTGCAGGAATGAGCAGGGAAAAATACTGTGACAAACACATTAGAAGTTCGCAGCTGCACAGACGAGGCTTATTTGGAACGGGTACAATACGGCTGCATTATTTCCCGCACTATTGTTTTGCTCCCGCATGCAACACACAACCGTTGTTGCAAAAGTTGCATCTGGGGAACACATGATCACTGAATTTGTGGACAAAAAAATTCCTCATTCTAATAGGAAACACTAACATCTTGGCTCCAAGCTACATGCTAGTGTATACAGAATCACAGAAACACAGAATCACAGAATCACAGAATCACAGAATAGTAGGGGTTGGAAGGGACCTCTGTGGGTCATCTAGTC